GTAAACTTGTCTAACGCCTCCTCAAACAAGAGACCCCCCTTGAAGGGGGCAGAGGCCAGCTTCCACTTGGCCTTCATCTCCGCCTGACAATGAGAGAGCCAGAGCAAGCGTCGAGAGGTCACATTGGAAGCCAGCGCCCTGGATGCAAATTTGGCTGAATTCAGGGAAGCATCGGCGGAGTATTTGACTGCGGTGATGATTTTAGTTAGGTCATGTCTCCACCGAGATCTCGGGAGGGAAGCTTGGCTCTCAGCTGCCTCAAGCAGAGGAGCGAGGAACGGATGAAAAATGATAGAGAGGTGGATGTCCTAATAGCCCAGGCAGCCGCCTGATGAGTCTTCAGACACGCCTTCTCTGATTTTTTGTCTTCTGCCTTGAGACCTTCCAAGAGGTCCGCCAGCAGGTTGGAGTTAGAGGTCAAAGAGACCACTGGAGTGTCCACTTCTGGAAGCTTCAGGGCCTCCTCCATCCTATTCTCTATGGCATATAGGGTCTTATCCCCCCCCACTGCGATTGGTCAGGGTCCCAGGTTGAATCCACTGCCTCTGAACTACGTCTAAGAAGAGGTTCGGGACTGGGATGGATTCCTGGGCCGAGGGCGGTTCCTTGAACAAGCCCTCCTTATGGTCCTTAGTGGAAGTCTCTGCAGTCAAGCTCTTGGGGGTAGCACCAAGCTCAGTGGCAGCCTTCGCCTTATGAAGGATGGACTTGAAGAGAGAGGGTTTAAAGAGACCAGTGAAGGCAGGCTTATCTGGAGGAAGGTCCTCATCCTCCGACAGCTCAAAGTCCTGTACCTCCCCCTCCTCCCCGGCGGACTCCTCCATAGCAATAGAATTGCCAGGGGAAGCCAGCTCCTGATCCTCAACCTGTTTGGGAGTAGGCTTAATTTTGGGAACCATTGCCTTCCTGCTACTTTTCTGCTTGATGCCTTCCACGATTCCTTGGGAGATAGCTAGAGTTATTATCTCCCTCATCTCAGCAGAAAGGCCAGATTTTTTATTTCTCCTGCAGTGGGATCTGTTGGAGGCCCTCTGGCCTCCGCTACTTCCAGAAATGAAACCCTCCTCAGCGGGAGGAACATTTTGGAAAGGGTCAAGCTCCTCTCTTAGGGAAGAGCTGGGGGAGTCGGGATAACCCCAGGATGCCTCAGGGATGAGTCCCTGGAGATGCTGCCAACAGATGAGGGAGACCCGCTCTCCTGAGGGGACTCAGGCACTCTATCCTCCCTCTGGCCTGGGGTTGGTTCAGGGATCTCCATTCGTTCATGTGAAGGGTCTTGTCCCCTTGGCCTGGGCGATCCCACAGAGGCCTTGTGGTGTTTGGCACTGTCACTAGCCCCAGGGGCCCCTGCTGGGCTCTTGCTAGTACCACCCTTGCCCCCTTTAGCCACTTTGGGGGGAAGCTCCACCCTGCTCCTCTTGGCTGAAGGCCCTGACTGTGCTGCCTGGGCCTCAGAACCTCCGAATGGCATGGTGGCTCAGTAGCAGTGGTTATACAGAGGGGTTCAAAGGGTCGTAAATAGGCCCGAGCCAGCTGGCTGCGAGTGCCCACAGATCCGAGGGAGGAGAGGGACGCCCGAGAGACAATACCCTTCCTCCAGCTGCTCTCCGCCGGGAGATGTTCCACCTGAGGGGAGACCTGCTGGTGACCCAGGCGAGGCTCTGGTCTCCTGGCGGCCATCCGCAGCTGAGAGAAGAGATGCTGCTGCTGGTTGTAGGTAACGCGAGCCCGGTCGCGGCCTCCCAACCTGCCGCTGCTTGTGATTCCTGCGAGATTGCGGCCCGTGACACTGAATCCGCGGCCGCCGCTTGCTCCGCTGACCGAGTACCTTCCAGAGTTACACGCGGCTACCAACTGCCAGAAAATGGTGGTGGCTGCACACGCCACCTTGCCCTTCCCGCCGAAGGAAAAAGGTGCAAAGGGCTCTTTAAAATGGCTGCTGCAACCACCGGAATGACGAGAGAGTCGGCGCACTGGCCGGGACTCCGCAGCCTCAATCGCTGGGACAATGAGGAAGTCGCTTGCACTCGCCGGAGCTCCTCAGAGGCTCGGGTCGTGCTGCGCAATTTTTCAGGTGCTGGGAGGTGGGATGGAACTCTGCGACCTCCCTGTCATTCGCCCTCCCCTCGCCTGCCTCTGCCGGGCGAGGAAGTCATTAAACCTAGCGTTAGGCAGTCACCCCAGCAATCTCTCAGCCTTAGCCTGGAGCACAGGTTTCCAGATTCACAACGTTTTCCTGGTGGTCATAGGATGGAATTCACATTTTATAGATTCTTAAGTAGAATGGGAAGTTCAGTCTATCTGCACTAAGGCCAAGGAACTCCCCAAACTAAGTCGTCTTGGGCGGACTGAGTTTTTAAACTGAGATATTAGAGGCAAAGGGGGGGTTTGTTCAAAGAAAAAAGATACTCAGTCCTAGGGCAGATAGACTGTGTTAACCCATGCTTGGACTCTCCAAGCAGTGCCTAGGAGAATAAGGTATCTTTTCTTCATCTCGGCGTAATTTTTATCCTTAATGCAGTAACGGTATTCTATTTTCTTCACTACCGGGTTAGTAGCGAGAGAACGCGCCAGACCATAAGACTCACATTATCTTTAGAGGAGGAAAATAAGAAAAAAAAATCTGCCTCTGCCTCCCAGCATCCACCAGGTATTCATATGGCTAGCATCCTTTGCAGCAAACAGCCTGGTCAGCTTCAGCACGTTATTGCAGCCCCAGCACATGGCTTGTCAGAACTCTGCTCCATTGCGCTCACCAGTCAACTGAGCTCAGCCGCTTCCGCCAGGGAATGCTGAAGCCTTCGCTGCAGAGCAGCTAATTGGTGGTTGGATCGGCCTCCCGGAATACCACTGTTCTAGGAATATCACCTATTCTAGATGGTGGGGATCACCACTGCCTATCACCATCGGCAATGATCATCCCTACTGCCTAGAACAGCTGATCAGCGGTATTCCAGGAGGCCAATCCAACAGCTGCTTGGCAGCGAAGGCTCGAGCATTCCTTGGCAGCGGCGAACGGCAGCAGTGGTGACAGATGGGGGCAGCAAACCCCACTGCTACACAACACCCCCCCACACACACAATATTCGCTCTATAAGATGCACATCTTCACCCACTTTGGGGGGGGGAGTACATCTTATAGTGTAAACAATACAGTAATTTCCTCCTCTTCCCTCTTGCTTAACATAAGCAGTCCTCAATTTATGACTACAACGGAGCCCAAAATTTATATTGCTGAGACATTGAAGTGAGTTTTGCCCATTTTACGACCCTTCTTGCCACAGTTATGTGAATCAGTGCAGTTGTTAAATTAGTGATCCGGTTATTAAGTGAATCTGATTTTTCCATTGACTTGATTGTCAGGTGGCTGCAAAGTTGATCACATGATCCCGGGACACTGCAACCATCACAAATATGAACCAGTTGCCAAGCATCGAAATTTCAGAGATGTTGGCATGGTTGTAAGTGTTAAAAACGGATGTAAGTCACTTTTTTTTAATGCTGTTGTAACTTCCAATGGTCACTAAATGAACTGTTGCAAGTTGAGTACTACCTTTACTAGCAGTCAACTACTTTATTCTTTAAAAGCAAGGTTACCCTTTAAAAAGGTCATTAAGTGAAGCCTGCTCAATTTTACTACCTTTTTTCTTTTGCCATGTTGTCACTACTGTAGTTAAATGAATGAATAAATCTGGCATCTCCCATTAACTGCTTGCCACAAGCCAGCTAGGAAGACTGCAAATGCACCTGACCCCAGAATGCTGCAACTATTGCAAAACACATGCTAGTTGCCCAGTCCCCAAATTTTGATCACATGAGTGCAAGGATACCGTGATGGTGGTTAAGTGTGAGGACCGGTCATAAGTCACTTTTTTTTTAGTGCTGTTGTAACTTTTAATGGTTCCTAAAAGGATGGTTTTAATTTGAGGGCTACCTGTACTGGGTCACATTTTTTTGGATCCGTTCCTTTTCTCAGAAGGTTTAAGAGAAATTAATCCAGGACCCAAGTTAAGAGTTAACAGAAACCAGATTGTAATACTGTAGTACAAAAACTCACAGAATAAAAAAGATTAGCAGCAAATCTTTTCTTTCTGAAAAACTTTTATTATGATTATATTGCAAACAATTTCCCCTTTTTATAGGAAGAAGGGGGGGTAATTATATTTGTCAATTATTTACAAGTCTCTGAAAAATCAGGCTGAATAATCCTGTCTTGGTTAAGTAGAAGGCTGCTTTAAATAACATGAAATTCATTTTCACTTATATTAAAAACTAGCTGATAATCCAGCGCTGCCCAGGTATTTATTTATAGGGGGGAAATGTCCAGACCAAACGTATTGTCTAATGTTGGATTTCCCCCTTTACCAGAGGAAGCCCCCTTGTGGAGTACTGTGAAGCCATTACCATGGCAACTCCACTGTACAGTAGAAGCCATTTACAGCAGAAGACATTTTAAGACACAACAGGCTGTGACAACAATCGCAACAGAACAGTGCACCCCGAGGAGTTTTAGGGGTGTCTTACCCCCACAGTAGTTTTTTTTTCCAGAGAGTAAGTCATCTGTGTACCAAGTTTGGTTGAAATTGCTTGAGGCGTTCCAGAGTTATGCTGGAATATACACACATACAGCCATTTTCGTATATGTAGATTGCATATAAATTGCATAGAATTTTTTTTGGTAGTATCTCCAATATTTGGAAATTATAAAGACATCAAGAATCATAGATTTTGGAGGCATGGAGAAATAATATAATATGGCTTGACTTTTAGCAGTGGGCTGCTGAAATGCGCTTCTAGCCAGTCTGATTTTTTTCCCCGACAAAGAGGCAATAAAGAATTTTGAGCAATATGGTCAAATCTTTTTGGAATTCTTTTGTTCAAAACTTAATTTTCCAGGGCTTCCCCTGCTTTTTTATGTTATCACTGCATTATGTAGTAACACTGTTGAATATATAGTTTTTTTTCTTTTCATATATAGTTTAATAGAATAAAACAGTTACCTTGAGAAATACTATTTTCATTGTCAACCTGTTCTTTGTGGAGATGTTTTGCTTCTGACTGGGACTGATCTACAGTGGGAGAATTAACTATCACCATCTCAATTGGTACAGTTACCTGAAATAAAGATAGACATGATTAGAGTAGCTAATCTAAGGACAGGATGTATATTAGAATTATGAGCATTTGTACTGGATACAATGGGTAGGCCTTTGAAACTGATGTTGAGTGCAGAACTTTGATGACATGTTAGTCAAGTTTCTGGTCCATATTGATGCACAAAGAAAAGTACGGCCCATACAATAAAAAAGAAAACTACACAGAAAAGATGGGATATGCAGCATATGTAATTCTTCAGCAGTCAAAACAAATAAATTGTGATTGCTTTATTCCAATAGCAGTACAATCAGCCCAAATAATGCAGATAGAGTTTGCTGATCAGTTTCTCCCACAATCTACCCAGCTTAGCTCATTTACACACAGTAATGGTGCATTTGCCTACAACTTTAGTACAGAGTAACCAGCATGGAAATATATACTGATTTGTTCAGTATCTTCCAGTCAATCATAACTGATTACACACAGGGTAACAGTAAATTTTAAAGATTTTGGTTTGCCCTTCCCATCTATTTGATACATACTGCCTTTTGAATTGGGTAGGCAATTTTCTTCATTATTAATACTCATACACATAAGCTTGGGTTTTTTATTTGGGGGTGTATAGTCTTTCAGGACAGTCTTGTAAGAGGCCATCATTTATTATACATCTATACATGTAATAGGGGTAGACTTCCGAATTACAATTATAATAGCGCCTCTCTTGATAGTCATTCACTGATGATGACCAAAGCAGGTTGGTCACATCACCAACTTGATCTTATAAACTTTTTTGTGGCGGTCATTAAGTGAACCAACAGTTTTTCTATGAGCAGTTTTGCCAACAACTGGAAATAAATGCCAGTGTTTGGCAAAACCATCGTGAAATGCAGTCACATGACCAGATGCTGCAAATTTGGCCCAGTTGCTAAGTGCCTAAAGTACAATCACATGTCAGGTGGAGAATCAAATCTAGGTTGTGAGTATTTCCAAGTAGTTCCATCGGAACCTGGAACAGTTGCTAAGCAACCAGTTATGAGTTGAGGATTACCTATACTAATGGTTTCGCGGTGTACTGTATTGCCCAATTCTTTACAAAAGCTAAAACAATACTCTTTTCTACATATATGTACGTATACTATATGTATGTATAAATATTTTATGCATGTCTAGGTATAATTTAAAAAAAAATCTCCTATGAGCTGAACTTCCTGGTGACTTCATGAGATTTTCTTAGCAAGATAACGGGGGTGGCCTGTCACTGCCTTTTTCTAGGCTCTTGTTTTCAACTCACAGCCCTGACTTTTCTTGATCTCTCATGGCAGCAAAATGTGCTTTCCCTTTTGCCTATCCTGGCGGGTCCTCCATCCTCCCCAGAAAAACTAGCTATTCCTCACCTGTTGGGCCCACTTCTCTGTCTCCTGCTGCTCCTGCAGGTACTCCTCTGCCAAGGCCACCGCTTGATCACACGTCTCCGGACCGCGCTCCCTAATCCAGTCCTGCATTTCCTGTGGAAGGATGACAAGGAACTGCTCCAAGATGAGCAGATCCAGGATTTGCTCCTTGCTCTGGCCTTCAGGCCTCAGCCAGCAGTGACAGAGCTCCTGCAGTTGCTGACATGCCATCCGGGGCCCATCGGCAGCCCGGTAGCAGAAATGCCTGAAACGCTGGCGATGCGCCTCGAGGGCGAGATAGTCATCCAGCCTCAGAATGGCCACCTTCACCTTCCCATAATCAGCTTTGTCTTTTGCATCCAGGGTGAAATAGGCCTGCTGAGCTTGTCCACTAAGGACTGGCACAAGGCGAGTCACCCACTCTTCCCGTGGCCATTGTGAAGCGTCCGCCACACGCTCAAAGGTGGCCAGGTAGGCCTCGGTGCTGCCCCCTTGAGTCAAAGGAGGCAACTGCTGGCTGTCCCAGACTGGAGTGATGAAGGGAGCAGGCACCACCTCTAGCACCCTTTGCCACTGGCACTCCCAGCTCTGCGGTAGCTCTTCGGCCAGCTCCTGCTTCACCCTGGACACCGCTCTTGTGAACTCTTCACTGGTTGCAGATGGAATGGTGGCAGGGCAATTTCCTTCTCCCTCTTTTGCACTGTCACTTGCCTGGCAGGGAGTTTCCATTTTCACCTGGACCTGCAACGGACATCTCATGTCCTCTACCTCTTTTGAAAGAGCAGCCATGTTGTTTGGGTGTTGCTGTGCAGCCATTTTGTGGCCCGATGAGCTGCCAATGGAGCAGCTGTGTCTCTGCTGCAGACTCTTTCAAAGCGCTCTGGGGCCAGACTTCGGCAGGGGTTAGTGAAATCTGTAAGAAGGCAGTGTGGGCATACTCCTGTCAGAAAAAATGGGAGACTGATAGTTTCCCAAAAATAAGACTTTTAAAGTAACATTATTTTCAATTTATGCGACCAAATTTCCTTGGTTACTGTTTTGTTTGAAGTTTGCATTATAGCTTTGATGTAATGCTTTGACGTCAACATTCTCTTCATGCCTTTTTTTTAAATGCCATTTGATTGTATTTGGTAAGATTTATTCCTAATTATCTCTGAGGTGAAAATTTTCAGCTGCCATCCTTACCATAAAGGCAGTGTTAGTTAGAAAATATTTTGCTGGGAGATAACCATAAACACTGAAAAATTTATACAGCCTTTTAATTATTCTCAATGTAATAGCCATTCATCAAAACTATTTATCAAATATTTATCCCTTAGGTGCTCTGACTACATACCAAAAATATTTAAATAAAACTATGTGAAATTTATCTGGTTACCTTCTTAGCAGCACAAAAATACTAAACCTGGAGAAGAACGAGCTGTAAATGAAAGAGAAAACAAATGGTAATACTGTAGACAGATCTCATTCTTTAAAAATGTAAATAAAGATTTAGGGCATCAGAGAAAATACTGCTGGCTTCCTATTTGCAGGGTTTCAGTTTCTTCTATTGCCTTATTCTGCTTCCTATTTATTCTTTTATTCTTTTTTTTTAAAATCAACAATCCATGCAGAGGTTATCCATAAAAAATGAGGTCAGTTCCCTGTCCCAAGGCTCTTACAATCTAAAAATAGGAAGGAAAATAACTAGGAAAATAAACAGAACAAGGAAACACAAGAAAACAAGATGAAGTTATTTCAAATGTAGATAGATGATCTTAGTTAATATGACTTAGGGGAAGGGGAAGAGGGTCTTTTGTCCCAAAGCTTTTGGAAAAGAGCTGTAGAAAGAGAAGCATTCTGTGATGCAGATCCTGTCACAAGGCATAAAAGGTGAAAGCATCTGAAATGGTTCAGAGAAATAAACAAAAGAACAGGCACATCTTGAGAGAGGAAAGGAATAATATTGGCAAGTCAAAGATTACACAGCAACAATAATAATAAGTTTAAATATTCAGTTGACTGAGTTTCATGTTTAATGAATAAAATAAATAAATAAGAAGATACTTGGTTGATACCTAGGATGCTGGCAGCAGCCCATATCAACCACTAGCACCAGTCAATGGTATTTGTGATGCATTTTTTAATGTTCAGTTGACCGAGTTTCATGTTTAATGAATAAAAGAGAATAATAATAATAATAATAATAATCTTAATAATCTTAATAATAATAATAATAATCTTAATAATAATAATAATAATAATAATAATAATAATAATCTGTCACACCCTCTTTTTCATGTCAAAATGAAAGGGGAAAAATGCAACGTGATTTTCAGGGCAATGAAATGCACAAGGAGAGCAGAAAACAAAATAAAGGGAGGGCTCCTGAAGGTTATCACGACCATTGCCAGGCTACCATGAGTCCCGGGTCAGCCCAACGAAGCGAGTCGAGATCACCGTCCCGTCTCTTCCTCTGACACGGAGGCGACCCTTTTAGCAAGGCGGCTCTGGGAGGAGAGGGGTTAAATAGTGAAACAAACCCCCCTCCAAAAAAGGGGGATTGAGTGGAAGGGCCCTGCTGGCTCACCTTTCGCTTTCATGCAGCCTACCTCGCGCTTCCCTCTTCGCCTCCGAGCGCAGCGGAAGAGCGGACTGCACCACTTCAGGACACGGATGGGGAAGCGCACACTTTTTAATGCTCGCGCTGCCAAAAACAGCTCGCCACAAACTCCCTGCAAGCAGAAGACTAACCCAACAAGGAGAGAAAGCGAGGGGTGGATGTGGGGGGGGGGGAGAGACCCTTGATTTCCGGCTGCAGCGATGCCCGACTTGCAGGGAGCTTTTTTGCGTTGCTTTTCAAAGCAAAAGCAAGTCAGCATCCTCCACCTGCATACTTGCACCGTATAGCGCGGTTCTCCCTCCCCTTCCACCACCCCGCTCCGCCTAAAACTAGCGCGAATCAATTTAGTAAGACCCGAATCTTCCGTGCACGGCGTGGGTAGGACACGCGTGCATTGACCAGAGAAAGCCCCAAACCAACTTCACTGCCCGCCCCCAAAGGGCGACCCTCCCGCGATCCAAAAAAGCCCCTCGAGCTCAGGAACCACGTGGCTGGTGGAGCGAAGCAAAGCGAGGCGTTGTTTCCCTAGTTTCTCCAGCCCGGGACTCTCGCCGCTGGCTTCCGTCTCTTTTTTCTCCCTGCCCAGGACTCACCGCTGTTGCGGTTCCCCTCGAGGCTAATAATAAAGGGGATCAAATTGAAGGCCACGTTCCGTTTCTTTCCATCTTTGGACGGAACGGGAAAGCGAGATCGCATCTTGCATCGCCTCCCTTTGGATGGCGCTCGCCGAGCCACTCTAGGAGCATGGCTGCGGCGTATATATTTTTTTAACTCTTTCACGTTTGCAACAGCAAACTGGGCCGCGCTAAGATGTGTAGACTTCAACTCCCAGAATTCCCCAGTCAGCCTTGAACTATTCCCTACGCTGGCTGGGGAATTCTGGGAGTTGAAGTCCATACATCTTTACGCAGCTCAGTTTGAAAAACACTGATGTAAACCTTCAGGTAGTGTATGGCCAAAGTAACAAAGGTTTTCCTGACTCAATAACTTAATGATTTAGGAAACTTAGGACAGCACAAGTGATATGCTCCCTGTCTAATGCCTTCAGATTCAGCTGGACTGTAACACCCAGCCTGAAAGATTTCTATGGGTATGTGAGGTTGGGGGGGGGGGGCGGTAGGCATTAGAATTTACGAATGAGTGCTAACTAAAAAGAAGTAAAAGGAATGGAAAGAAAAATAGAAAAGAAAGAAAAAAGAAAAATATATAAAGAAGTGACTTATTGGTTCATAAGTATATGAAATATATGCATTTTTAGTAACATATCATTTTCTCTTAAAATACAACTAATGATACCTTCTTCCCATATATCTCATCTCTTATTTGTAAGCAAGTGTAATGGCAGCCATTTGATCCCAGTTAGTAAAAGTCCATTAAGGGTAACCAGAGATAACATACTAATTTAACCTTGCTCAAATAAAGCATTTTTATATTCGAATAGAATAGAATAACAGAGTTGGAAGGGAACTTGGAGGTCTACTTGTCCAACACCCTGCTCAGGCAGGAAATCCTACACCACTTCAGACAAATGGTTATCTAATCTCTTCTTAAAAACTTCCAGTGTTGGAGCATTCACAATTTCTGGAGGCAAGCTGTTCCACTGATTAATTGTCTAAAGGTCAGGAATTTTCTCCTCAGTTCTAAATTGCTTCTCTCCTTGATTAGTTCCCACCCATTGCTTCTTGTTCTACCCTCGGGTTTTGGAGAATAACCTGACTCCATCTTATTTGTGGCAACCCCTGAGATATTAGAACCCTGTTATCATGTCACCTTTAGTTCTTCTTTTCATTAAATTAGACATATCCATATTCCTTTTACTTTTAACAAACTTCATCTTTAATCCCTTCAAATACTGGATTTCTTTTAATTTTTTCTTTCTCCTTCTCATAAAATCCTTCAAAACTTTAACAGGACTTTTTTTTCTAAATCTAATATAGGATTATTATCCTATATCATTATTATCCTTATATCATTATCCAGGTCACTTTTTTCGTTTATTTGTTATTTATGTATCATTTTTAATTATTAAGACATCAGCTGGTATCATTCTGATAGTCTGTAGTTTACCATCTTTTTCCACATCAATTTTTTAGTCTGTCATTTTTAAGTCCACTTTCAAAGCAATTTCAGTCTTCTCCAATAAAACTTATGCCTCTTCTATAATGTTTTAAACACAGGCTATATATTAATGGCACATTAGCAAAGCCTAATGGGCCATTGCTATGTTGGTTGGAGCATTTGGGGTGTTGAAATCCACATAGCTTAAAGTAGCCATGGTTGGGAAACACCCAAAATGTATTTGGGCCATCTTTGTATATGGCTATCTGGGGAGAGTTTTATGAGTCTTACAGAAAATAGCTTCGTAGTTGTGAAGGCAAAATATAGAATAATGGATACCAAAATACTAGAAGCAAATTCCAATCAAATGTTAATATTGTTGAACTGGAAAATGTTATTTACATCACTGATTCTAGATTTATGCTTAGGGCAGGAATCTGATTTCAAGCACCCTTGGCTGATGGCTAGTTTCTGCCCACCATTTGAATAGACGCAACGGTTCATACTGTAAGGAAAAACTGTGATAGTGGAATTAATATTCTAGAGGCAGCACAACCATCACACTGAGATTTTTTTGGAAGTTTTTTAATTTTTATTTATATTTTTACAAACATTAATGCGTAAACATTGTGGCACTGGGTGTTATACATTCTAATACAAATAAAACTAATAGCATTAGTCATAATTATTACTTTCAACCAACTTATATATTTCTAATAGTAATACATATTAATATAAAGTTTCAATCTGTCATTATTCTACTATTATTCCATGTTTTCTCTTATTATTATTATTTTATTATATAAAAGTGTATACACTAATATTCCCCTTTTCTTTTATTTCTATCTCTTATTCTAACTTTTACTCATGTCACCCTTTGTTTTAAAAAAAATTCTTTCTATCCTACCTAATTTCTAATCATGTCACCTACCTACAAATAAAAGAAAGGAAAGAGAGAGGAAAATCAAATCAAATAAAAAAAATGAAAAATCGTCTATCCATCATCATTTTCCCGCTTCAATACTTTAATTGTTATGCTTTTTTCTTTTTGGTTTGTCTCCCATATTCCTCTCTAGGATCTTTATCTCTTTCTACATCTGCTTCTTGGCTGTTCAATCTGAGTATTTTCCCACCTCTACCCTCCTCCACTGCGTAGTTTCCAGAATTTCTGCCCATTCTCCTATCTCCCTTTCAAAGGTATCTTCCTGTATCTCCAATTCTCTTTTTGACTCTCTTAATATATTTTTCCCCTGGTTTAATTAATCAGTCACTCTTATTTTCCTTGTTGTCTCCTTGTCTTCTTCTTTTATTCTCTGTTCTTCGTCTCAGTCTTTTCCTGCAATTCTATTATCAGCTCCTCCCATTCCTGGATGCCTTGGTCTTTGCTCATCATCCCTTGTATAGCATTTTCCATTTTTTCCATAATCTCCTTAAATCCTTTATCCATAATGTCTTTTGCGTTTTTTTTGGGGGGGGGGAAGACGCCACCTCCTTCAATGTTTCACTTGGTTCTTCCTTATAAAGCATCTTATTTTGTTTTAAAAAAGAAATTCCACTTTTGTTCAACAATCCAAGAGTTATTTATTCAGTCCTTAGGTTGCCCTGCAAGGAGTGCACTATTCACAGTTCTTTATTTCCCAAAGGTAAACAGTCAGTTCAATTTGAATAATCCCAGAGGTTATTAGAAGTCTTTCAGGGGTTCCTTTAATTAAGTAGCTTGCTTATTTTTGTATTTAAATCTTATTTTTGTATTTAAATTTAAGTCTTGGGGTAGTTGGGAATATTCCAGTAAATATTTTCATAGTCCGTCTCATACATATTTCCAAGCTTGTAGTGTTTCCTTTTGTCAGCAGGTGACACTCTCAGCTTAAATTTCAGTATTACCACGGGGTAATTGTCATTTTAGTTATAAATCAATTATAAAAGCAGAATAAGTTTTATAGGTAAATAATTCCAGCATTTTAAAATGCCTTCCCAGTACCGCATCTTCCCAGTTTAAGAGTCCAATTTTCTATACATTTCATAATTTATTATTTTTCTCTCTAGTATCTTCCTCTTCCAGTCTGGTATTTATCAGAATGCTTAGACACTGCTTTAACAAATAATTCTGAGCAAAAAGTTCCAAATTATTCCTTGGGGTAAAAACCCTCCCCCAGTTCCGGTCATTGTTCCCCTGCTTTGCTCCAATACCAGTCTTAATTGCTGTTCTTTGGTTGTTACAGCTTTGTGGCAGCCATCTTTAAGCATTCTCGTCTCCTTGCCATGACTGAGAGGGAAAAAGAGCCCCAGGTCAGACAGGAGAGCTGCAACTCTCCTTGATCTCACAGGGCACCCCTCTTTGTTTCACCACCCCTGCAGGGCGGCTTTGACTCCTCCTGGAGCCCACCAGCACAGGAAGTCAGCACAGGGAACACGGAGACCTGTTCCCTGTGTCTGATATCACCGCGATGTCAACCGGAAGTCCTCTCTGAGGTATTTTTTTAGAATTAATATTCTAGAGGCGGCACAGCTATTTCTCCCAAGATTATTTTTTTAAATTCCTGTATTGAGCAGAGGTTTGGTCTTGGTAGCTTAAGAGTCTTTAAGAGGCCCTTTGCAGTTTCTAATTGTATGAAATACTGAATGCATTCTATGACGCATGTTCTTTCGTCACATGAAGAAACATTCATTGAATGTTTCTTCATGTGATGAAAGGGTTTGGACAAGATCAAGGTTGGTTTCCCTCCGGAAGTTGTAGGTGTTCCATTACTGGAGATTTTTAAGAACAGATTGGACAGCCATTGGTCTGAACCTCGGAAGAGGAACAGGCAACGCTGAGCATGCCAAGTGACATGGCTCCACGTGCCACTTTGGGCACACGTGCCATAGGTTTGCCATCATGGGTATAGGATCTCCTGCTTCAGTAGAGGGTTGGATTAGAGGACCTCCAAGGTTCCTTCCAACTCTGTTATTCTGTCCAGATTTTTGAAACTCTGAGCAGCTAGGTTGAGCAAACTCAATCAGTTCAAATACCATACAAAGTCATATAATAGTGTGATTTGTTCAGAATATGTAGTCCCCGACTTGCAACAATTCATTTAATGATTGTCTGAAGTTACAATGGTACTGAAAGAAAATGACTTATGATCATTTTTACCACTTAATAACCACTGTGATATTGCCAGGGTCATGTGGTCAAAATTCAGAAGCTTAGCAACTGACTCATATTTATGATGGTTGTACTGTCCCAGGGTCATAAGATCACTTTTTATAACCTTTTGACAAGCAAAGCCAATGGGGAAGCCATATTCACTTAACAACTGAAGTTACTAACTTAACAATTGTAGTAATTCACTTAACTGGGGCAAGAGAGGTTGTAAAATGAGGCAAAATTCACTTATGCAACTTATATAAAACATTATTAAGGCTTCCATTTAAAATACTTCTAATATTCCAGCCTAATTCCAAACCTAATAATTGTCAATAATAGTAAATGAAACAATAACAACATAAATCCAAATACTGTAGTTTATTTTAGCATTATACTTTACACCCATGGCTTTACAGTTCATTCTATCCATTTGCTTTTCCGGATTCCATTTACTTCATTGTTGGGTTGAGCAAAACTTTAAATAAAGGATTTGGCCTTTGTATATTTAATTCTGTAATAAATAAGCTGCTCCAGGAAAAGGATAGATACAAGCCACAGTCCATTCAGTGGAGGTGTCCTTGATTGCCCATCTCTTGGTTCCAGTCCATAATAACAGGAGAGAGAAATCTCTATAGTATACTATGCAGTGGAAGATTTCCTCCCAAAGACACATTTCAAAAATAAATATTTGATCATAAAGAACAGCCAAGCTGTTACTTTTTAATCTTTACATTTAACTAGTATTTGGACTGATATATATAAAAAATATATCAGTCCAATTTTAAATATATATATATATATATATTTAAAAATAACATTATCTCTGGCTGGCTGGCTGGGAAATTCTGGAAGTAGAAGTCCACAGATCTTGAAGCTGTCATGGTTGGGGAACCCTGGTGTAGAAGATGCACTGCAATTCCAGAGGTAGGAAAAATTAAAAACATGCTGGCATTACAAAATTCCTGTGTCAAAAAAGTATCTTGGCTCTGCAATGGTGGGATTAAACTTTTTTTTACTACTGGTTCTGTGGGCATGGGGGCATGGCAGGGGAAGGTTACTGCAAAATCCCCATTTCCTCCCCACTCCTGGGGAAAGGATATTGTAAAATCTCCATTTCCACCCCACTCCAGGGGAAGGATACTGCAAAATCTCCATTCCCTCTCCACCCCACCAACATGCTTTCCAGCTCGTTCTCCTCTGCAGGGCAAAAAAAGAAGACCCAACCGATCAGCTGGAACTCGGGAGACAGCTAATAGATTGGGAGCCAGGCCAGCCAGAGGTGGTATTTGCCAGTTCTCTAAACTACTCAAAATTTCCGCTACTGGTTCACCAGAACCAGCCAGAACTGGCTGAATACCACCTCTGCTCTGCCTTCAGGTAGCTCTTCTTCGACTCCACAAACCTCTCAGCTCATTTCTTTTTCTCATTTGCTCCAAACTCAGGAGGAGCTACTGAGTATTGCTGACTGCAAACACAATACATTTTCCTTACATCTTGCAAGAAGCTTTTTCCTGCCGTTTCTGTGATAATGACTAAGGGAGCAAAGATGCCTTGAATTGTCCACCTGTTATCTGTTTCTATATGCAGTGCTAATCCCTGGAGATGATGGCAGCACAAAAAGCTATGGAAGCAGTTAGGAATAAGAAAACAAATATTTAAAAAGAATTGTTTTAAAGGAAAATATACTTGGGAAAGAGTACTTTGCAAGAATATTTGTTTTTATTTTACAGACTATATAGCACACCTGGACTATTTTTTTTCCAGAGGTTCCTCTGAATGCGATTAATGAAATCTAGCAATTTACAGCGGATTATTTGCAAGGGAGGCTTCCAGATTTAGCAATTCTGTCATCCCTTCCTACGCTTTCTGTTACTACTTCTCCGCCAGCCATTTCTTTTGCTTATTGTAAGTCTTGGTTTCTCTTTTGCCTTTCCAATTTGCCCAGCCATCTCTATGTAGTGGCACAATTCTTCTGACCATTAGCCTGGGAAGAAGAAGCCCATGTTTTTGAAATCCAGGCAAGATTCTCACCCCGTGCAGGTGGCTTCTGACCCTTCATTCGGAAAGAGGCTTTTCCACCAGGTGGCATGAAGACCCCTTTGGAAGTGTTGGGAGATGGGTCTTCAGGGGCCCTGCTGGGTCACCGATATCTGGATGCATGCGGCCGTGCTTCACGAGGTGAGATATCTGGCTGAACCTGTGTCCACAGACCACACAAGCATAGGGCTTCTCGCCAGTGTGGGTCCGTTCATGCTGCACCAGGGTGGACCTGTCACTGAAACGTTTGGAGCAGACTGAGCAAGGATAAGGGCGTTCTCCAGTGTGTATTCGCTGATGGATGGTGAGATTGGAGCTATGGCAGAAGGACTTGCCACAGACAAAGCATTTGTATGGCTTATTACCTGTATGGATCTTGCGATGAGTCCGAAGGTTGCAACTTTGGGAAAAAGCTTTCCCGCAGTCGGGACACTGATAGGGCCGTTCCCCACTATGCGTCCGCAAATGGATATGTAAGTTGCTTGGATGTCTGAAACACTTTTCACACAATGTGCAGGCATATGGCTTCTCCCGGGTATGGACGAACCGGTGTTGGCGCAGGTCAAATCTCTGCTTGAAGGACCGCCCGCAATCTGGGCACGTGAGATCGGAGACCACAGTGGCACTGAAAGGAGGATTCCACGTGGTGACTGGGAGAGTGGCTTCACGGACTTTTATTTCCAGAGATGCCACCTGATGCTCTTTGTCCTGGACAATCTTCTTACCCAACAGGATTTCCTTGTTTGGTTTGGGTGGCTCAGTCAGAACCTCAGATTTCTTTTTCTTTTTGGGGTGCTGCCCTACTGATGCAGTTGGCTTCTTCAGCTGCGATGAACTAGCACCCTGAGGAACCTGAGTCTTCTTTTGTTTACCAGATTTGGCAGTCAAAATTTGGCTTCCCGATTCCTTTTTTCCAGATCTTTCCTGCAGCAATGAGGGTTGAGGCCTACCTTTTGTGGAAGCCTGCTCCTCTGTTCTAGATGACTGGTTCTTCTTTCTTTTGGAAGATTTATTCTTTGAGGAAATCAATGGCTTTTTAAGGGGGAGGGTACTAGCTGGGGGCACTGATGCAGCAACCTCTTTGATACAGCTAGAAGAAGGCTCTTTGACAAGTGTTTCCCCTAGACCTACATATTCCTGAGGTACTTCCATTGCGATGGCTTGTACCTTAACTGTTTTTGTGGCTCTCTTTAAAACAGAACGTTTTTCCACCCCTTGGATAGCAGTTGGTGAATGTTGGTTTCCTGCAAAGGAAAGAAGGAAGAGCAGTTGCTTTTAAGGAAACTGAAGAGGTTATCTCCCTTTCCCCCCCCCCCAGCCCCATTATTTAACTGGGAAATAGGCTTAAGGAAACGGAGTAAGGAAAGCTCTCTCTTGATTTCCAAACTGCATGTTGCTGTCAGTGGTGGGTTAAGACCTGGAGGTAGGTACCGTTCCGTTACGGTGCTCCGGAGGGCCCGCCCGCCCACGCTCCTTACCGGTATTTGAAGTTTTCGGGGCTTCCGCGCAAGCGCACGGAGTGCATGGCGCCTGCGTGATGCTCCACCGAGTAGCTGGAGCGTTGCAGAGGCGTCGTGGAGCATCGCGGGTGGTAAGTACACATGCGCACGCTGCGCATGTTCATGTGGTAGGCGGCTGGCCCCGTTGCACCATACGGGGTGCACCGGGATCCAGAACCCACCACTGGTTGATGTGATAGGCATTGCTCTGATTCATAGAAAAATAACAAGGGTATACTTTTCCTCTTCTTTCTTTGAGAGGTATTCTCTGAAAGCTGATGGTACAGGGTTGGCTGGATGGAGGAGGGGAGGAAAACATGGCTTTTTAAAAAGGTTAAAGGTGTGTTAAGTTCTGGGGAAATCTACCATGTCTATTCGTCTCTTTGGGGATGAAAAAGTAGAAAATATATTGGTGCAAATTTTGTTGTCAAATTTTGGGAGTATAATCTGGATGTGTTCTGGGGTTGCAAATTGGGTCTGGGGCTCCACCAGTGGGTTGTTTACCCATAAGGACATGGATAGCTCCCTCAATAATAATGGGTCAAAACCACTCAAACAGCACCCTTGATTGTGCTATTGAAGTCTCACCCCTTTTACATCTTTTATGAAATATATTCAAAAGGGGTGAAGTTTTGATCATAGAGTTGTGCCCGCCATCTTAATGTCTTTGACTCTCTCCTGCAGACATCCCTGGAGAATTTGCACACACATAGCCCCCCCCCCCTCCAAGTAATTTAAATCATAATTCCTGCTGCTAAGGGATGCAGTCGATCAGTGGCTAAGATGCTGAGCTTATTGATCAGAAAGGTCAGCAGTTCAGCGGTTCGAATCCCTACTGCCGCATAATGGAGTGAGCTCCCATTACTTGTCCCAGCTTCTGCCTACCTAGCACTTTGAAAGAATGTAAAAATGCTAGTAGAAAAATAGGAACCACCTTTGGTGGGAAGGTAACAGCGTTCCGAATGCCTTCAGTGTTTAGTCATGCCGGCCACATGACCATGGCGACAATGCTGGCTCTTCAGCTTTGAAACGGAGATGAGCACCGCCCCCTAGATTCGGGAATGACTAGGGAACCTTTACCTTTACCTAATTTCTCCTGCTAATACCAGAACAAACAGGGCTTATTAATATGGATGTCTATATGAAAGAGTGTGTGTGTGTGTGTGTGTGTGTGTGTGTGTGTGTGTGTGTGTGTGTGTGTTTTGTAAAAATTAGGCTATAAAGAACTAGGCAACAGGTTAGGTGGATCATAACTAAACTCCCTGTTCAGTCTTCTTCCTTACCTGTGAATCGATCTTTTGGAGAGTTGATAGTATTATTCTGAAAATACAATTCTCCTCCTTGCTGTATCCGGGTGATTATCTCTGGTTTCTCTAGAGGAATTCCTACCCAAGAGAAAGAAGTGTAAGAGAAAGAAGCATAACCAAAAGTTTATGGCTTCCCAATTTCTCAGTGAAAAATTCTGAAAGTCAGGTCAAACACAAAGAGCTACCACATTAAACATTAAAAACAGGCAGGAGAAGGGAGAATTGATCTAGAACAGAACAAGAGATAAAGAAGGATGCACCAATGTCAGTGCTATTCTCTTTCCCTTGAATGTCCCTGATTAACCTGTGCAGGGCCAGTTCAGCATAGTAGCGAAGGTGGTGGAAGGGTGGCAGGCAGGCAGTGTTCAAGCTCAGCCTCAACCCCAGAAGTTCATTAGATGATTTTGGGTCCGTCTCTCGCTCTTAGGCCAATCTAACTTCCAGGGTTGCTATGGGAAGAATTTGCTATGTATAGGTAATCCTCAAATTGCAATGATTTGTTTAGTGACTTTAAAATGACAAGGGTACTGGAAAAAAGTAATTTATAACCAGTCCTCTCAATTACGACTGTCGCAGCATCCCCAAGATCACATGAGCAAAATTTGGATGTTTGGCATGTATTTAACGAAAGTTACAGAATCCTGGGATCACTTGAACCTGATCATTTGTGACTTTCCCAGACACTTCCAGCAAGCAAAGTCAATGATGTCACGATTCATTTAACTGCAGTGATTTGTTTAACAACTGTGGGAAAAAAGGTTGCAAAATTGGGCATGACTCACTTAACAACTTGCTTAGCAATGGAAATTCTGGTCTCAATTGAGGTCATAAAATGAGGGCTACTTATATATCACCTTGAACCAGTGAGGGTTGCTAACCGGTTTACTAGCAGTTGGCTCGTGCTCGCTTCTGTGCATGCGCAGAAGCGCCCGGGCGGGTGGGCAGAGCCTCCCACTGCTGTCATTACTGGTTCAGCCGAACTGAGCTGAACCGGGAGCAACCCATCACTGCTTTGAATTCCTGAATGAAAGGCAGTGTCTGAACCAAATAAATAAATACTTTTACAGAATATTAGAAAGTTCAGACAATAACACTATTGTCTGGACACAGCTATCATTTCCCCAAGAACTCCAGGGTCCTGCTAACCTAACGTTCTAAGACAGATGTTCTCCAAATGTTGTGGACTAGAAATCCTCCCTCCGGTCATTTGGGTCATGATGAGAAGCATTAGAACAGTGTTTCTCAACCTTGGCTACTTGAAGATGTCTGGATGCAGTGTTTCTCAACCTTGGCCACTTGAAGATGTCTGGACTTCAACTCCCAGAATTCCCCAGCCAGCATGGTGGCTGGGGAATTCTGGGAGTTGAAGTCCAGACATCTTCAAGTGGCCAAGGTTGAGAAACACTGCATTAGAAGCTAGATTCATCATGGAATGAGAAAAGCATTGTTCCTGAGTTGCCATGAAAACAAAGAGGGCTGAAGAAAACTGGCCAGTCCTCACCCAGAGTGGACACATTCTGAAAGTTCTCAAGCGTGACATCATCATACAGTGCTCGTTGCTCCTCAGTTAGCAAAGCCCACTCTTCACTGGAGAACTTCACGTCAATGTCTTTGAGTGGCACTGGTGGCTTTTGGGTGGTAGAGAAAGGGAATGAAAAAGACATTAAAAAATCAGATGTGGAAAAAAAGAGAACCCCAAATAGATTAATCCCCAAATACACTAATTGGAAAGCTTTCAAGAACCTTTTAATCCCTTCAGTCAACTCTCTCAGCATAACTATTGTTAGAGGAAACAGGGATTCCATTATGAGCTGGGATTTTGCAAGAATGCTGCTGCTTGGAAAGGAGGTAATTTTATTCGAGAGCATACAGGTACCGAAGCTGATAATGTTTATAGGAAATCTGGTCCTTTGTGAGCGGTGTGTGAATATGCTCTTTGTAATGTTTAATTTGGTGGATGTGCAGCTCTGGAAGTTAAATGTTTGATTCGATTTTTATTTACAGATCTTTTCTTTGATATGTGCTAAGTTTGGGCACCACCTCTATTGATGAAGGAAGTGGCTTTGTGATGTTTGCAATTTTTTATTACCTTTGTGTGCTACGTGATTTTATAGTGTCAGTTGTTTGTGAGTTGTGCTAATGATTAAAAGGAAGGATAGAGGCAGTGCAGGAATGAATTAAATTTCTGAATTAAATTTCTTCCAACACTATGGAGTTCAAATGATGACCCTATTTTACTTGGACTTTGACTCCAGTATTGTGATGGAATGTGCAACTGAAGAAGTGTGTGTGGGGATATCAGCAGTGGCAACGCAGCTTCCCAGGGAGAAGGCAACCCATTCCAGAGAGGGGCCCAAGGCAAGAAAGTGCTGAACTGGATGGGGAAAGAATCAGGATAATTACACCCTAGAACAGGGATGTCCTACCTTGGCAACTTTAAGACCCAGTGAACCTCAATTCCTAGAATTTCCCATGCTGGGAAGTATACAAGTCCCAATAGTTGTCAAAATTGGACACCTCTATTCTAGAATTTCCCAGGCTTTATTTATTTATTTGTTTAGTTAAATTTATTTGCTGCTTATTTCACCATGGGGCTACTTTAGGCAGCTTACAACAACAAAAACAGCAAATTGAAAAGAAGTGGAAACATAACTGTAGTAAAATGATATATATGAAAATCTATGAAATGGTTAACACATGGTTAACACATCTGCCTAAGAGGCAATAGAGCACAGGTTCGATTCCCAACAAGGGTATGGCTAGCTGATGAG